CATGGGCATAAAACGTTAAGAAAGCTGAAGATACCGTAAAGCATTTTGCTAATCGCCCCTTTCAATTAGTATCTTGTCCAGCTACTAAGTGTTCTTGGTATTCAGGCCAAAGGTATATTTTTATTATTTATTGTTTTACAAATGTCCCACAGTGGGTTATCTCAGTTATTGATAAGATAATTCGTAGGGCTCGACTCACATCACTAGCTGAACCATTTGCTGTTTTTAGTTGCGATTAACTGATAAAGTGGAAAAAAGGAGGAGGATATTTATAATATATATAAACAAAGTAAGAATTTATAGCGAAGACTAGCAAAATAACATGTATAGACCACAACTAGAAAGGAAAAATAAAAAAAAGACATTAGACGCTCTAAAAGCATGTTTTTACATCTTCAGCCTATTAAGCCTTACTTATTGTATGTGTTTAAGATTTCTTTTAAACAAAGCCCAGAAGCTTAGAATATAAAAAATAAAATTATTAAATCAATTGTTTAATTTTTAGAATGTTCCTAACACGAAAATTAAAAGACAACCGAAATCGAAAATTCTATTAGCTGGTTGGGAACAAAATGCAAACGAACATTCATCTTAATTGATTAACGAAAGCGGTGCTTATGAGAACCAAAAAAATGTAGAGGTTTTATAATATCTTATATTTTTTTGCTTCTTGTCCATAGTTGATGACAATCTTCCTTAAAAATAGCACAGAACATTTATTTACTTATATAATTACCTAATTTTCCGCTAAAGAGCTTACCAAGTTAGGACCAATATAACACCTCGTCTGTCCTATCTTTACGAATAAGGCAACTAATTCTGTAGGTATGCCAACCTTCAGTTAAACTTACTGTAGTCAACTGTATTATTTTGTATTTGGTAACATTATACTTCGATTTTTAGTATACTAGGAACTTCAATTTTTTCCAAGTTAAAAAAAAATATATTGACCCCACACTGCTCTTCGGTTGTAGATAAGCCCTGGGCCTGAAAAAAGTATAACTGCCTATCCTTACAAATCACAGAAATTGGTAATAAAAATGGTTTTGATAAAATTAACTTAAATAATTTTTTTTTTGAAAACTTAGTTAAACTGAGGCAAGAAACAACAATAAGATTAATCGTGACGTTAAGATTGTTAGGAAAAACATAACGCAATCAGTAGTATATAATACTTTCATTGAGGTTTAAAAACTAAAAAAAATTTCACTACCACCCAGAAATTACAATTTCTCGAGCTAGTAGGATTACAACGCAACTTTGATTTCTTATTGTTTATTAGCTGTAAGTTTACTTTTAAAACCTATTTTAAAGCTCTATTAACTGGAAATAAGAATTATTTAATAAATTAATTGCAACTTATCAAAATGCCTTGAACGCGTCCTCTGCTGTGTCAGTCTATAAAATAAAAGCTGTTCTTTCTTTCAAATATATATCCAATGTACCCAATGTTTTTCTCCTACTAGCTAGGTATACTTTGCACTATATGATTTCCGCCAACAACTACAATCTAAAAAAAAAAATACCTTAACTTACTCAGAAATTTAAGGTTATAAGCGAAAGCTTTACAAAAATCTTAGAACATCAAATTTTAACACAAATTTTCTTTATACGTAAATAACAAAGCAAAACTTTCAAAGAAATAAAGTAAAATATTAACAGAGTTGTGTGACTGAAATTAATATTGAGTAGCATTCGTTAACTTCTATAGATGCACACTGTAGGCTTTTACAAATCAAGTGGAGGAAGATTTTAAAAGTTAAAGGTAGGTAAGATGCTTTTTTCGACAGTTTTTTTTAATTTTTCTTAAATAATTAATAGGTATATTTATGAATAACTATGTCGTACCATGTATAATTAAATGTATTTTGTAAAAATAATTTTCGGTTATGTTACCTCATTAAGTCTAGCATTATTCAACCAGTAAATAAATGCCCAATGTTTTATCATTTTCAAAAACAAGTTTGACTTTATGGTTTTAAAGGAAGAGACTGACCATAAGGATTTAATTGATCATATTTTGTATACATGTAGTGTAGGTTTTATATTCTATTTCGTTTTTGACACCTTTATTGTTTAGCCTTTTCTTTATATAGTAAGTATACATAACGAGTCCTGAAAAAAGTAAAGTTTTACAATTCCTGAGCCTTTGATAGAATAAATATATATATAAGGAAGAGCAGGCATGAGGCTTCCTTACAAGGCAAGCACGCGTAAAATCATAAACTTTTCTTCACCACAGTTGAGCAAACTAGAAATAACACCTATGCACTTCCGTTTAGAAGACACCAACCAAAAATTTAGTACTGTAAAACCATGTTAAAGTTTGGGATACCTAAGACAGTTTCTTTTAACATAGGCATATAATAAGTAAGAATTCCTACTCTTAAATATTACTTAGACTTATATGTACAAGGATATAATGAAAACTTTTATAATAAAATATTAACCTAGCGTAAACTACTTATCGATGGACGTGAAATTGAGACTATAAAATGTGCTATCTCTTTATTTTCTTGTAATGGTTTAAATTTATTACTGCAGTAAATTTATATTTACCATAAAAATAGAAATAGTCATAAATAGTGCAAAAAGAAAAAATATCGCTAAGCTTGTAATAGCACAGTGAGAACAAATCTTTGCTGTCACCTCAACTTAATAAAATTAAAATAACAATTATTGCAGCATATTTAATTTTCTGAAGAAAACACAAGAAACTTATCATCCTAAAAACATTTAAATTACTAACTTCTCACTAATATAATTATTCTAAGGAAAATAAACCGTTAGTAATTTTCGGAAAAATTTGAATGGTTATTGCTAGTGCTTTTTTATAAATAAGTAGAAAAGGTCAGAGTAGATCGCTGCCATAATAATAAAATCTATTGGTTAAAAAGGCTTTTGTTGGCCAATCACAATATAAAACCATATATAAATAATTTCGGACGCAATTTTTCATGGTATCAAATTATACTAAATTGTTCCTTAATTATTGAGGTTGGCACTCTTTGCTTGCAGTAGAGCTTTTTTAGGCCTTTTGTTACTTCTGTAATTCTGTTTATATAAAGTTTAAATCTGTTTAAAATATTTAGTAAAACTAGTTAACTTAGCATTTACTTAGTTGCCCTCTAGACTACAAAAAATTTTAATAACTTCAGTAATAACGCCCACTAGGCGTTTAGTCTTTGTTCTAGCCCTCTAGACTAAAACTATAACCTTTATAACTTCGCTGGTCCTCTAGACCAGCTTAAAACTACGACAATAAAAACGCAGTAAAATCCAAAAAAAAAAGATGGGAAGAAAAAACAGAAAAAATATATTCAAGACACGTGTGTTCTTTTAAAAACATATATATATATATATCATACAAATTGTAGCACTAGATTGTAGAGGGTCTAATAAACAATATACAGTAACCCTTCAACAAGTAAAATTTTAAATCCTTACTTAAGGTGATTATCGAAGCCATTCAAACGTTTACCTATAATGAAGAAAGCTTTTACCACCTTCACTACGGTGATTAGATATTTATTTCAACAAAACTCCGCTTTATACATAGGTAATGTTAGTTGCCAATCTAACTAATATGTTTTAAGGTATTTGCCGTAGGGGATCTCGTTTGGTTATAATTTTTGTAATAAAGTATCTTTGTCCTAATAAGCTTATTCAACATTATAGCTTTTGTAGATTTTAAGTTCCGTTCCCTGTCTTGGTTTAGCTTTAAACGCTGTCCTTGCCTACTTTAATTTTTGTTCAACATAATTTATTGTAGGCAGCCTAACTTCTAAGTAATATCTTTTTGTTTAATTACTAACTATATTATGAATTTATTTTATCTACTGTTATTTTATTCTTTCTCCTCTTAACTGTTGGGTATTTAGTTATCATCCAATTTACCCTATGATATTTTAATACTAGTATATAAGAACAATAATAAAATGAAGATGAGGTTTTCTCCCAGCGTCCGCCTTGTTTGCTTGCATTTTTTGCATAAGGTTACTAACCTTATAGGATTTACAGTTTAGGTGTGAATTTTTTAAAAAACCCAAAGCCAAAAAGTAACTAGTAAGCTAAAGTACTGATGAAAAACAAAAATATTATAAAAAAAAGGCAGGTTATAATAAAATTTTCAAGGTATTTTTTTGTTTTAGAAAAAAATATTGGAATATCTAAAAATAGAGCTTAGCTGGGTTATTTTAATCTGAAAAATATTGTAGTAAAAAAGTTAAATTAGTTAAATTATTTTTAAATTTGTAATATTATGTTTAAACTTTATCCCGTTATAACGGAGAGTAAAGTAAGCTTAACTTGCTTAATATGTAATCAATTTTTTAAAAAAAGAGTAAAATACTTTGTTATTATAATTATTTCTTACTCGATGCAATAATGTAGAGCTAGAAAAAAAAAGTATCATTCGTAAGCAAACAAGAGTCATCTCTTTGCTTAAAAAAAATAACCAATCCCGTTAGCTTTTTGTAAAAGTTTAAAATTTTTTCAAACGTTTTACTTGTGTTTTCGTGGCTTTTCGGCAAGCCAGCGGACAATAAGTTTTTGCTATTTTATTATTTTTTTAATATTAGATTTTACCTTTTTAAAATAATATAGAAATAAGATTTATAATATATATTTATTACATAAGCTTTGACAAATTTTTATTGTTTCAAAAAATTTACTAGTTTGTGCGTGTTAAGCAAACTATTATTTTCATATCTTCATTTATTCGTTTTTTTATTAAAAATATTCTTCAAATTTGTTTTTAAAAAAAGAAATTTTCTTTATAATTTTTCTTGGCACTTTTACTATCAATTTATATTTTTATTTTAGTATTATCTGAAAAGGTTTATAAATTTTATTAGTTTAACTTAATACTCCGAGTACAGTTTTATTTTCCGCTACTTAAAAAAATAATGGCGGATCCTTCTTCTTTCCAAGAAGAACTATCAGCATCTTTAAACTCAAACAACGAAATTTTACAAAAAGAGAATGATTTTTTAAAAAGAAGTAAAACTAATAGAAAAGTAGCTGGAAAGAGAAGAACCATTTTTTCTGATGAAGAAAGTGAAGATGGTTTAGAATTATTTACATTGTAATAAAAATTTCTTTAACCTGATAAAGATGTTCATTTTAAAGAATCTTACGAGAAAGAATCTCAGCAAGCTTCTAATTTTACTACTGAAGTCCAGCCTGAAAGAGACTCTTCGGTCTTTCTTTATAGCTTTTTAATAAATTAGCTTAAATTTAGTGTAAAATATATTTAGCATTTTTACTTAATAAAAAAATATGTTTACTATTATTTTAAAAACTTTTTTTTTATATATATATATAAAAAAGGTTCTCTCTATCTCTGATGAAATAAATATTGAAAATAAATCTTCTGAGTTGCATAAAGCAAAAGATTTACACGAAATGAGTGACTCTTCCTTTGGCGCATCAGAGGAAGCAATTTCTAATGTTGAACGCCGCAGGAAAAAAAAAAATTCTAGCTTTTATGGTCTTTCGCTTTTGCCTTACTTTTATATTAGAACACAATTTTTTTTTAAAAAATAATTAATAATTTTTTTAACATTAATTATTTTGTTTAATAATATGAAGTTAATGAATTTTTAATCATTTTCTCAGTTTTTAAGTAAAGATTTTTGACGTCTTATTTATTTTCTAGCTATAAAAGTTTTCTAATAAATTTTAATCCAAGGTGAATTGGATGACGACGATTATGCATTAATTGAGGAAAATTTGGGCGATCTCTCACAGCCTACTCTTGTATATTATAATGAATATTATTTTTATTTATTATTATAATTATTATTTATATGTACTGAAGAGTTTTCTTAATTTTAATTTTTTAACTATTAATAAAACTTTTTAATAACAATACGAGTGTTTTGCTTTTAGTGTTTTTATTTTCATTATCCTATAATACTCAAATATTACTATATATAATTCTTTATTGGTGAAAGAATTGTATGCGAAGTTAAATAATCTATTATATCTTTTTTTTCTTGAAATTTTTTATTTTTATAATTAATTTTGATCTTGTTAGTAATATTTTTATTATGTTTTTCTCAGTACAAGCACCGCAGACTCCGAAGAAAAGCAGAGGAAGTCGATAAGGAACTTCAAGAAGAGCTTAAAGATCTTCAAGATGACTTGAAAAGTGAAGCTTCAGGTTCTGAAGAAGGTAGAATCGCTTGCTTTGAACCATGTGTGACGCACATGTTTATTAAATTCCAGGATTTATTTTACTTAATAAACGTAAAAGAAATATTTTAAATTGTTTTTTTTAAAGTTTTCCAAGGGTTCTATAAAAAGATGTGCAAATTTTTATGAAAAAAAAGTTCGAAAACTTTGAAAAGATTTTTATTAAAATATATAACCCAAAGTTATATGTTTATTATATATATTTATTGGAACAGAAGATCCACTTCAAGATGAACTTTACTCCGAAGATGATATTCAGGATTTTATAGTGGACAGAGAAAGAAGCTCTGAATTTAGAGGCGTCGGCGGCAATCAAGGTTTTTTTTAATAATAATAATAATTATTATTTTTACCATAAATATTATTACAAATATTATTATTAATACAACTATTATTTTTATAAATGTTATTATTATTATTATTATAAAAGTCACGAAAATGTTATTTTATCTATCATTTTTTTCTTTATAATTTTTAGCAGGGGGAAAGCTGTATTATACTTTTTATTGTTAGTTTATAATATTTTTATAATTTTCTGAATTAAATTTTTGTTTTCTTTATAACTTTAAAAAAATTATTATTATTTTATAAAATTTTTATATTTTTTTATTGTTTCTCTTGAATTTTTTATTGTTTATACTTATTGTAATTTTAACATTAAGAATGATAAAGAAAATAAAATAATATTTATATATATTATACTTCATTTGAATAAAAGTTATAGTGTTAATAAAGAAATAATAATATTTATATGTATTTTGTATATATATATATACTTTTTTTGAATCAAAGCGAGTTTAAATGTTTTTATAATTTATTTTATAAACTTTAAAGTTTTATATATAAACTTTTCTTTTTTAGAGGGATAATAACTTTTGGACTTCTTTTAAACTTTATTTAGTTTTTTTTACTTTTATATTATAATTTTTAATAAATTTTATAAAACTTTATGAGTATTTAAATCCACCAATCAACCTTTTTTACTTTTACATATTGTTTTAAAGGAATTTCATTAAGCTTAAAAAATTTTAAATCCAACAATCAACCTTTAGATCTTTTTGTGGCTGAAGAAATATTTGGAGACGTTGATGAATTATTCGAGGAAGAAATTATTCACGATGAAAAGTTGGAAGACTCGTTAACTTTAGCAGAAGTATTATTATTATGATTATTATAATATTTTAACTATTTTTCATAACTTTTATTATTATTATCATAAATTTTTATATTACTATTATTACTTTTGCTTTTATTTTATATTTTTATATATTGTAACGTATGTATAAACTTTTATATAACTTTCAATATTATTTTAATGAAGATATCTTTTTGCTTTTTTATTCTAATACTTTTTTCTAGGCTTTTATTATATACCATTACATTTATTTTTGTTCATATATTAATAATATTTTATAAAATTTTTTATGAATATTTATTTTTTATATCATAACTAAATTTTTTCTTCTTATTAGTTTTATTATTATTATATTTATTTTTTTGTTACATATTATTAAAACTTTTATTACACATATTATATTAATATATATTTTCACTATTTGCTTTATTATTATTCCTTTTTTATGAATATAAACACTTTAATACTTTTTTTTATAAGTTATTGTACTTACAGTTGATATTTTTAAATATTATAATATAACTTTATTTATTATTATTTACTTTTTATTATCGTTATTTATTAAGAGAACCGTTTTTTATCTTCTTTTATATCTAAATTTATTATTTTTTTATAAAAAATTATTTATTTTCATATTTTTTGAAAAGCTTTTTGAGCCGGCCGTCCTTAAAAAGGAGCGAATGGCAGCTGAAGATTCGGATATTCGCTTAAAAGATGTTCCAGAGAGACTCCAGTTGCTCGGCATCGATCGGTTCATTTCATTATTATTATTATTACTGTTACAGCTGAAATATTATTATTATTGTTACAATTATTTTTATGATCATTATTATTACTGTTATTATTGTATTTATTATTATTATTGTTACTATTACAATTTTTATAAATATAACATAATCATCATTATTATTACTATTATTATGTGTATTATTCTTAGAGCTTACTGTTAATACTATTATCATATTTATTATTACTGTTACTATTATGATATCTTTTATAGTTATTATTATTACTGTTAATATTTTTTATTATATTTATATATTTTATTTATTATATACATTTTTTCTGTACTTAATTATATATTTATTTATCAAACTTAAAAGTTACTATATTTTTTACATATATTTATATTTATTTTGTTGTATTATTATTATTTTATATAATATAAAATGTTAATACCATTGTTATTCTGGATTTATAATATTTTCTTATAAACTATAACTTTTTTATATTGATTATTAAATTTACTAAAGTTTGTATAATATTTTTATCTGGATTTAGTATAATTCTTTATTTAACTATTAATAATATTAATATTTTTTATATTTTTTAATTATTATTATAATAAATAATCTATTTTAAATATCGAATATATAAAGATATTATATTTTTTAATATTCTTTATATATTGTTATTATTATATATAATTTCAGAATATTTATTATAATAAATAATAATGAAATATGTAATTGTGCATTCTTTATTTAATATTTATTTTATAGATTTATAAAAAGTAATCCAAAAAATATATACTGTTTTTCGTAATATTTAAAGAATTATTGATGTATAATTTTTATTAGTAGTATAATTTTCTATATTATAATAATTATTTCTATTATTTATTGTTTCTTTCATTATTATTTTACTTTTTTATATATATAAAAGTTTTTTTATATTATATTACAGTATTTCTTCTTTTTATTTATAAAAATATATATTTTTTTATATAAAAGTTTTTTTTGTTATAATTAGGTTGTGTAGTATTTTTAGCTTTGTTATTATTTTTTTATATAAAGAAACTTTACTTTCTTTAATATTTAATAGTTTTTATTATTTTTTTCTATATTTATAAAAAAGTGTACTTTATTATATTTAGAAAAATATGTTATTTATATATAATTTTTTTTATTATATTGTTTTTTAGAATTTATTTAAAACTTTTATTATTATTTTCTCTATTTTAAAAATTTTACTTTTTTTATATTTTTATAAATATAAAAGTTTTTTTTTCATTTTAATATTTTTTAATTTTCAAAAAAAAATTTCTTTTTTTATGTATATAAAAGTTTTATTATATTGTTAATTTATATTCTATAAAACTTTTATTATTATTTTTTTTATATTCTATTTCTATATATAAAAGTTTATGAATATTTTATTGTTTTATAGTATTTTTTTAACTTTTCTATTATTATCATAAAGTTTATTTTATTATTACTTTGCCATTGAGCATTATAATAAACATGAAATAAGTAACTTTTTAATTTTTTATAGTTTTTGTAAGTTTTTATTATTTTGTTTTACTTTATGAAAATTTTTTTTTTACTTTATAATATTTTTGCTTTATTATTTGTTATTTTTTATAATAAAAATTTCATTCTCGAAAAAGTTTTTTTATAATATTTTTTTTTCTTTTTTCAAAGCTTTTTTTCTTTATATATATTTTTATATATTGTTACTTTTCATATAAGTTTTTTATTTTTTTTTTTTTTTAAATGTTTTTCTAAACTTATAACTTTTTTTTTAAAAAGCGTCAATCCTGAAAACGTGGATGAAGCCGAACTTGAACAAGAAGCGGAATGGATTTACTATAATTTATTATTAAACGGTAATAAAAAAAAAACTTTTGTTAAACTTTTTTATTTTTCATTTTTTAATTATATATTTTTTACTTTTTTATATAGAAATAACTATTTTATTGTATTTCACATATTTTTAAATTATATATTATTACTTTATTATAATCTGCTTATAATTATTATATAGAAAAACTTAAAATAATTTTTACGCTTATTATATATATTATTGTTTTATTATATTTTTGATATTTTTTATATAGAAATATCTACATGATTATATTACGTATATTTTTATATGTAGTATTTCTCTATTGTAATCTTAATGATATTATTTGTCTAGAAATATTTATTTATTACGTTTATATACTTTTATAATTATTTTTATATAGATTTTTAAAATGTATTTTATATATATATATATTATTTATTGTGGTAAACTTTTTAATTATAAAACTATTTCATGGTATTATTATCTAAGTTATTTTTAAGGACTATTTTTGATTATTATTTATTATAGCGAACTCTTTTGTAATAATATTTTTTTTTATTAATATTTTTAAAATATTTTTTTAAAAATGAATTTATTTTTATTTATTATAAAAATCTCTTTAATAATTAAACTTATTTGTGATATTTCTATATTAAATAATTATATATATTTAACTTTTTTATTTATTTATAATATTATCGAAAACTTTAATAATAATACTTTAAATTTTTTATTTTAATTTAATATTATTTAAAAAATATCTAAAAATATTTATTTGTAATATTACATACTTTTATACTTTTATAATATAATTCTTCGGTATCTTTTTTATTTTTTATACTTTTTTTTAGAATATTTTTATTTATTATATATTAAAATTTTCATAATAATAATAATTAGAGTACACTCCACGAGGCGAAAAACTTTATATTACTCGCGGCTCTTTACCTTCTATCGTAAAAGTTTTAAGTCATTTCCGTAAAGACTTTCTAGAGGTTTCATAGTTTATATAATATAAAAGTATAAAAATTATTTTAAATTTTTACATAAAACTTTTATTTTTAATATTTATTATATGAAAAATATAAAATTTTAGGTTTTTTTATTTTTTTATAAAAAGTGTTTTTATTTTTTTTATAAAAAAGCTTTAAACTTTATTTAGATCTTTTTATTTATAAAAAGGCCCCTTTTGTACGCATGTATTTTTTCAGTATATTTATCTGTTCGTATTAAAAGTATTCGGTACTTTTGGTATATAAAAAGGTCCCTTTATACGCCTGGATAAATTTATTTATTTGTGCTCTTTTGTAATATTTAATACTTTTTATTTTCAAAAGACCCCTTTTGTACGCAAGTATATTTTAGTATATTTTTTGCACGATTCAAAATAATTGTTATCTTTAATATAAGTAAGGGCCCTTTTGTATGCGTGCCTACAAGTTATTATTATTTTTAAATTATTAGTGCCTGTTTAAAAAAATTTGGTCTTTTTATTTATAGAAGAGACCCTTTTATGCGCATTTGTACGCGTTTATATACAAGTTAGTCATCTTTTGTTTACTTGCACGCTTTCAAAATATTCGGAACATTTTATGTTTAAAAAGGCCCCATTTATACGCATCTATAGAAGTTGATCATTATATTTACTTTACTTATTTTCGCGCTTTTATAATACTTGCTACTTTCTTTGTATGAAAAGGTCCCTTTTATACGCATGTATCGCAAGCAGTCATACGTTAATCATCTCACTGATAGAGAGCTGTGGATTCTCCTGGAATGGTCGTTATTTTAATATATAGATATTGCTTTCCTTTTATTATAGAAAAACAAAGAAATAGAAATAAAACTTTATTTAAAAAGTAATTTTTTAATTTTTTCATCATTAAAAATATTGAACTATTTATATTTATTATAAAAAGTTTTCATTTTTTATTTCTTATAATAAATAATAAACTTTTGTATATTAAATGACTAATAATTATTAGTTGATAATTTTTATAATCTATTTATTTTTTTTATTTTTTAAATAATTATACTTTATTATAATTATTAATATTGTCTAATTTTATATAATTTCTCTCTTCGCTATTCGTATTTATATAACTTAACTTACTTTATTATTATCATCTGTGTATGTATATATTAATATTTATTTTATATTATTAATTTTTTTAATTTACTTTATAATTAATGTTGTTACTTTATATCTTTATATGATTTTTCTATTTATTATTTATTATTTATGTAAACTTTTTTTTTATATAACTTATCTTTAGTATTATATACAAATTTATTCTATTTTTACTTTATTATTTATTAATTATATATAATTTTTTCCTTTAACTAATTTTACTTTTTATTATATATATTTATATATTTCTTTTAATTTTTTTTTTCTATAATTTATATTTTTTTGTATAAGTAATTTTACTTTATTATTATTTTTTATATAATTTTTCTATTTATTACTTATTAATTTTCTATATTATTATTAAAATTTCTACTATCACCTTGTTTTACTTTATTATTTTTATTAATACTTATAATTTTAAAAATATAAAAAATATATGTTATTATATTTACTATAAAAAATAAAAAATTATTGTTGTTTAACTATATTTTATCAGTTTGATATTTTTTAAGAAATAAATAATACAAAGTAAAAATTTTTTTATGGTGTAAATAAAATTTTTGTTTGTTCAGTTTTACTTATTACTGTTATTTTTTTTTGTTGTTTATAATTTTCTATATAAAATAGTAAAAGAAATATTTTTATCTTTTTCAATTCTAATTTATATTTTATTAAATTTTAATTTATTAATTTTTTTTATTTATTTATGAACAAAAATAAAGAGTAGTTTAGTTTTTTTTTTATTATCATAAGTTTTTGTTTTTATATTAAATAAGGAGAAGTAAATAAAATTTTTATTTTTTGACTATATACATTTTGTTTGTTTCATTTTACTTTATTATATTATTTTCGTTATTTTCTTTTTTTTTATTTTTATATTTTTTACTAGATAATAGAAATAATTTTTATTATTTTATTAATAAAACTTTATTTTATTTTATATTTTTTCTAGTAATTTTTATTGTATTCGTTATATTTATTTTTATTACTAACTTTACTTTATTATTATTGTTATATTATTATATAATGTAAGTTTTTTCTTTAGTTCAACTTTTCTATTTTAATGTCAAAATTTCTTATGAAAATATAAATTTTTTTTTAATGAAACACCTTTTCTTATAGTTTTACTAATATTTCTTGCTTGTTTATTAGATATATTATAATTTCTCTTGACCAGTAATTTTTTTTAAATATCATTACTCTAATACACCCTTATGATTTGTTCATTTGTAGTTGTATTTTTTTTAATGAATGATTATTATTATTATAAATTATTATTATGAAAACTCTTTATATTATTTATATTTTTTCTATCACTTTTTGTATATTTTATTTTATATTTTTATGAAAAGGGACGCCAAATGGAATTGTTTTAATAATATGAAAAACAGTTTATTGGAACTATTAGAAAAGCTAAAGGAATCATTATTATTGGTTGCTTTTATATTATTATTATTATTATTGTTTAAATGGATTATCGTAATTATTTTATGTTTGTAACATTTTTTGGGATTCTTGTAAATACGTGTACTTATTACTAGTTGTGATTGTTTAGTTTTATTAAAGAGTAAAAGTTATATATAAGAAAATGTACCTGTTAAGCTGGTTTGCTAAACCATTATTATTATTATTAACGAAGGAAACTACAAAGAGCACTACCAGCATTGAACTTGAATCTGACTCAAAGCTTGAATTTGTTGGGGTTGTTAGGACGCTTATTAAGGAAAGTCGGACGGCTTTGGAGCTCAGCGATTTGCGCGCCTTTTTTATGCATCACTTTTATAAAGAACTGCTCGAGCTTGACTTGATAAAGTTTATTATTATTATAATTTTTATATTAAATTTATTTTTATTAGTATCTGCTTAAAAAAAGTTTGTTTTTTTATTTTTTTTATTTGGTTATTAAAATTTATTTTTTTATTATATTAATTACATTTTTACTATTATTTTATGAAAGAAATATTGTTCGTTGTGAAAACCGCTACTAATATTTATTATTATTGTATATTTATTTGGTTTATATTTTATGAATTTTTTTCTTTATTTTTTTATAAATATTAATATTTATAAAATTTTATTATTTATTAATAAATTTTATATAATTCTATTCATATGATTAATAATTTTTTTTTACAAGAAATTCACTACAAAAATTATAATTAATAATTAATGGTAAGAAATTTTTGTTATTACTTTTTTTTTTCGCTCTAAATATTTATTTATTATTGTTATTAATACTTTTTATAGGTATCGCTATTATAATTATCTTATATTTAAAATAGTTATTACTACAATTATACTTATTACTATTATTATATTTATATTTTAAATTTTTAATAATAAATTATACTTATTTATAATTTTTTATATACTATTTTCGTTTTACATGCTTTTATTATAAATATTATTACAATTACTATATGTATTTTTTATTATTATAATAATACTATTATATATTTTAATAATAATAAATTTGTATCAAACTTTACTGTTATTATTATTTTTGTATATTTTTTTAATAATTATTAGTTTAATTATTTTTTATTACTATAAGTATTTATTTACTACTACTATTATTATCTTATTTTCATATTGAATCTTATGTTCGATATTTATTATTATTTTTTTAGTTATTATTAATATTAGATTTTATTATTGTTTTGAATATCTCTTTAGGTATTTATTACTATTTTTAATTCTTTTATTAGTTGTTATTAATATTATTATTATATTTTTATATTGTTTTTATGTTATCAACGTATATTTTTTAAATTTCTAATTATTAAATCTTTTATAAAAATCTTATATCCGTCTTGAATGTTTACTTAATATAATTATTATTATTCTTATATTTATATTTTATAATTATTATAGAATTTACTAATGAATATTACTATTATAGAAATGTTAGCCATCGTAGAAAAAGTTTTCTTGGAAAAGAAGAAGGCAAAAAACTTTATTTTACTTATTTTTTTATAAACTTAATTTTTTTTTTACTTTATTATTTAAGTTTTTATTGAAAGTTTTACTTCTTTTATATGTATTTTTATTATATTTTATTTTATACTTTTATAATATTTAAGTTCTTTTTTATTATTATTAAAAAGTTTTACTTTTCTTTTTTATGTTTTTATTATATTTATTTTTCTTTTTTAAACTTTTAAGTTTTTTCTATTGACTAGAAGTTTTACTTTATTGATATTTTTATTATATTTTTTTTTACTTTAAAGTATTTCTTTTTTATTTAGTTCTATTTTTTTATGTATTTTTTTTTATTTTACTGCTATAAACTTTTAAGTTTTAAGTTTTTTATATCAATATAAAGTTTTACTTCTCTTTTAATACATTTCTTTTAGGATTATTTATAGTTTTACTTTTTTTATACAACTTTTATATAAATTTCTTTATTTTAATGTTATTATTATATTTTTTTGTTTTATCTTTTTAATATATACTTTTGTTTATTATTATAATATATTTATTACTTATATAAACTTTTTAGTTTTTTATATATATAATAAGTTTTACTTTTCTTTTCATATGTTTTTTATATTTTTTTTCTATATAAAGTTTAACTGTTTTAGTTTTATTATATTAAATATTCTTGTTGCATTTTTACTTATTTAATTTTTTTATATTATATTTTTTTTACTTTATAAGTTTTTCTTTTTTTATAGTTTTCCTTTTTTATACATTTTATTATTTTTTATAAACTTTTTAAGTTTTTTTCTTATTAATAAAAAGTTTATTTTTTAAGTTTTATTTATTTTTATTATATTTTATTATATTTTCTATTTTTATACAAGCTTTTAAGTTTCTTTATTAATAAAAAGTTTTACCTTTTTTCTAAATTTAATAATATTAAGAAAAGTATAAAGGTTTTCTTATTATGTTTTTAAGATTATTATAAACTTTTATGTTTTTCTATTTATTTATTATTTTTTATAAACTTTTAATCATGAAATTTTTTTTTGATTTGCTTTTATAATTTTTTTTTATTATATATATTATGAAAACTTATAGCGTTTTCTATATTATAGTATTTGTCAACTTTTTATATAAAAGTTTATATTTTTTTTTATATATTATTCTTTTCTTTGAATAAAAGTTTTATTATTTTATTTATCTTAAATTAAAAATCAAATTTTTTTTCACTTTTATATAAAAGTTATAAAATTTTATATATATTTTTTATAATTATTTTCTCCAATTTAAAAGTTTTATTATATTTTTGGAATTTTTTTTATTGTTTTGTTATTTTATATAAAAGTTATTATTTTCTTGTATTTCTTATGCTTTTATTTATTGTATAAATTTTTTAAAAAGTTTTAGTTTTATTATTTTTTATAACTTTATATAAAATTTTTTTATTAGCTTTTATTATAATTTTATTAAAAATAAATTTTTTTTTAAAGTTGATAAAGTTCTGTTATTTTTTAGTAAATTTTCTATAATAAACTTTTTTTTATTTAGTCTTTTCTTATATTTTATTTGTATTTATTTTAATTTTTTTTAAAAATTTCTTAAAAGTTTTATTATTTTTATTAATTTATATATTAAAATTTTTTTATTTAGTTTTCTTATTATTTTATTTATTATATAAATTTTTTTGAATAGTTTTCAAGCTTTATTATTTTCTGAACTTAAGACAATCTTTTATATTATTATATTAAAAAAATTTCTAAATTTTATTATATTTATAAACTTTTTTTAACTTACTAGTAATATAAATTTATAAAAATATTAATAGAAATAAATAAAATTATTATACAAGTTTTATATAAAACTTATATATATTTTTATTGCAGACTTAAATAACTTTTTTTTTCCTTTTTTATTATTCATGTTTTTGTAAATTAATTTTAGTATACACTTGTATATTTTTAGATATACATAAGAAATAATAAAAAGGAATAAAATTCAAAAATTTATAAAATTACTATACAACTTTTATGTGAAAACTTTATTTATAATAAAATAAAATTTCGTTTTTATTCAACTTCTATAAGAAAATTTTTAAATAATATTTTTTTTATAAAACTTTTTTACTTATTATTTTTTTTCAGGTATAGACAAACTTTGCAACGAATTTGGCTTAAATGTTAACCAAATTGCCGAAAATTTCGATAAAAATATTGAGGTTTATTCGACGCAAACACCTCTTGAAACTCCGTATATTGTAGCAGAAAGTCAGTTATTGGCATGCCTTTATATAATTTGCATCGTTTTGTAGTATATTTGTTTATACTTATAAAAGTGTATTTATTTTTTATTTATTATACTTTTTATTATTAGTGGTGAAGGTTTTTTAAGAATTTTATTATATATTATTATATTTTTGTTTTCACAATAATTATTATTAAAAATAAAAAAGTTATTTTTTTTTGTTATAATACTTTTTTAATTACATTTTTTTAATACTTATATATATGAGATTATAAATTTCTTACTATTTAAATATTTATTTTATATAATAAACTTTTTTTTAATAGTAAAAATATTCTATATTATACGGTTTTTAAATTATTAATATTATATTTTTTATATTGAGAATTTTTTTTAATATTCTTTTTTATTTTATAGCAATTTATATATTTCTATATTTTTTAATAGCGAAAATATTTTTTGTTATGCACTTTTATTTTAATAAAGTTTTTTTTCCATTTTTATATTTTGAAAATTTTATATAGATTTATATTTTTTGATATATTTTATAATTTTTTTTACCTTTTTTAATATTTGTATATATAAAACTTTTTTATAGAAATAATATTTTTATTTTGAGTTTTTTTTATATGTTGATAATTTTTTATTAAAAAAAATTTTATATTTATTATATTATTATTTCTTTTTATATATCAGAATACAAAAGTTTACTTTTTTCCACACCCGAAGCGGCTCTACTCGCAGCTCGCTATATATTGGCTACCGATATAGCCAATCATTATCTTGTAAGAAAAAGGTAATTTTTTTTTTAGTTAATTACACTACAATTTTTTAAATGAATTTTAGTGTTAAGCAATTATCAGGTGCATAAAATAATAATAATTTTAATAATAATAATAATAAAAGAATGAGAAAAGTTTATCATTTGAACGCGCTTGTGTCGGTTTGGCCCACGCGGCGTGGGCAGCTGCATATTTCCGAGCAGCATCCATGTTATTCCTTTCGCTACTTGAAGGAAAAACCAGCGAACTCATTTCATTGGAGAGAGCTATTGTATCTTTTTCATGGTCGGTTTTTTTAATGACACATCTTTATATCAAAAATATTTTATTGGCTATTTTTGTGTGCTGCTTTGATTGGTTATTTTTTAATATTAATTAACATTTTGGGTTTTTATTGGTTCTTATTTATTATCTTTTTTATCTTTATATGTGTAGAACAGTAAAATTATATTATATATAATATTTGCTTTTATATATTTATTTATTATGAAAATTATTATGAAATATCCTGTTGACTCTAAATCTATAAAGTTTTATACTTTTTATTATTTCTATTGTTTCAACTGTCTTATATATTTTGCGTTTTGTAAAAGTTATTATATATTATATAAAATATTCCTTTTATTATTAATATTAAATTATTTGAGATTTTTGTTATATAATTATTATATTATTAAACTATCCTAATTGTATTAAACATATTATCATTATTAAAATATTGAGTTGTAATAATTATTTATTTTATTATTATAATATTTTAAATTGTTTGGATTGTATAAGCTTATAATTGATTATTATTAAAATATTGAAGCGTAATAGTTATTTATTTTTCTTACTATTATATTATTGAACTGTTCAAAATCTATTAAACTTTTATTTTTTGTTAATCTGTTGAAATTGTATTGACTTGTATTTAATTTTGGTTTTTATCAAACTTGTTTTTATTATTATTATAAATATTAAAATATAATAATTATTATTTTATTAAATTGTTGGAATTGTACTAAACTTATTATTATTGTATATGAAATATTTATTATTCTTATAATTAAATTTTGTTACTATTTATTATTAGAAATGTATTAAGCTTATTATTATATAAAATATTGTTATTACTAAATATCGATTTGTATTACTTTTTTATATTATTATTACTATATTGTAAAATATTAGAATTATATTTATCTTATTACTATCACTCTATTATAAAAATATCGAAAAATATTATTAAAATATTGAATTGAATTTATTTTTATTATTAGAATTGTGATTAAACTTCTTATTATATAGATTATTATATAAATTATTAAAATAGTGAGTTACATATTATATTTTATTAAATTATTATTAAACTGTTAGAATTGTATAAAATTTTAATATTAAATATTGTTGTCTATTAAAATATTGAATTTTTATTAAATATTTTTTTATTATGCTTTTCATGTACTTTATTATTATTTATTTATATTTTCTCATTTTTATATGAATTCAGGAGAAAAAGAAGGACTTTTGCATGTCAATTTTGACTGTGAATCAGCCAATCAGCTCGAAGAACGCAGCTTTTTTAAACATTTTTTTCAATATTTTTCTGATAAAAGTTTCTTATATATTATTTATTTATATTTTTTGATATTTCCTTATTTATTATTTATATTTATATTATTAGAATAATATATAAAAGGTTTTTATATATTTATTTATTATTATGCAAACAATATTATTAACTTTAATATAAATTTTTAACATTATTAATATGTACTTTTTATATTTTTATGCTTTTTGTTATTATTTCTGTATTTTTAATTTTCTTTTTATTTGTTGGTTATGTTTTTATATATAATTTTTTTCTATATATACTTAATATCATCTATATTCATATACTTTTATTTATTTTTTTACTTTTTATTATCATTATTTATATTTCTTTAATAAATACTTATTAATATTAATTTTCTTATAATATTTTTTTTTTACATTTGTACTTATTAATTTCTTTATAAAATTTACTTCTTTTATTATTTATAACTTTTTATAGTTGTCATTATTATTTTATTAATATTTATTATTATTATATTTCTATAGACGATCACCGTTTAGAAGTAAAACTTTGGAACGAGCAGCGGAAGGCTGTTCTCGTGAAAACATTTAAAGAAATTTTATTTCCTTTATTTGAAAAAGAATTGCGCCAAAAATTGTCGGGGCACGCGGAAAATTGTCTTCTACAAGTTTGCGCCAAAAAGTTTAGAGACAGCATTAATATGAAGCCGTTTTTCGATGAAGAAGTTTTTTATTTTTTTGTTTATTTATATGTGTTTTATATATTTGGGATCTGTAGAAAAAGTTATTATTATTTATATACTATCGCTCTCTTATTTTTTCTATTATATTTCAGTTGTATTAATGTTTATTGAAATAGAAATTTCTCAGTTAAGTTTACTTACTATTTTATTCTGTGGTTATTATTATCTTAAAGTTTTTCTAATTATTTCTATAATTATAATTTCGCAGACTTATGGCTTTATAATATAATATAAGTATAGTAAAAAGTAAAACTTTGCCCCGTGCATCACCGCTGTCACCAGCAGCCAGAACCCTTACCTTACCTACTTCCCCTCCGCAAAGATATTATCTACAAAGTTGCAGTAGTGCCTTGGGCATATTACCCTCGTTTACCCGCGTTAAAAAAGTTGCAATAACTATTCTGATGAGTAATACTCGTACCAACCCGTTTCCAAGGGTAAATACTGCCCTCGTTAACTCAACCCTCAAGAATAGTTGCACTAGTGTCCTCGAGTCAGCAACCGTCGCCATACACGAAGCCCACGTGTAGGCGCGCATTGCCTTCTTGCACTTGTGCTTATATTTACGGCACAACCAATTTTTTTAGTGCACTTGATTTTATTTTTGTATTACTTTTGTAGTTTTTTTTTCCTCATTGCTATCAAAATATTTTCAAAGTTTTTTATTTCTTATGCAACAATAGATCACGTGCCTTTTTAAAAATACTATAACTTTTATTTTCTATTTATAAACTCATTTGTAGAGGAACCTATAAACTTTTTATTATATATAAATCTTTTTTTTTTATTATCAATATGTATTTATAATAACTGTTGGTTTTATTTAACATTCGTTACTATTTTTCTTTATATATAAAATATATTAAGTTATTATTATTATTATGTAAGAAGTAAACTTTAGAGGTTTTATTATTTATTTTCTATTTATATATTTAAAGATGCTTAAAAAGGGAGAGGGTGAAGTTCTTACTTATTATGTAATGGGCATAACCCCCGGGGGGTTTGAGAATCCCACGATGGTGGCCTTGGTCGACTCTAGTGGCCAGCTTGTGAAGTCATTGGTTAGTTTTTCGACCAATGAAGTCTTTTAACTTTCTTTATAATGAATTATTTTTAGTCTCTTTTTTTATGAGAAAAGGTTTGAGTTTATAAAAATAATTCATTAGTTTACTTATTATAATAAGTTATAATTTAAGAAGTTTATTATATAATTTATAATTATGATAATCATGATATAGAACGTTAATAATAATAACAATAAGAACATACTTAATGAATTGTATTGATAATATAACAATAATATGCAATAATAATGATAATAGGAATACTAATAATCCATATAAATATAGACTTTAAGAAACTTTCGTAGTAAAATACTAGAAGAGAAACAAAAGGATGATGAAGCATTAAAGGTAGAGCTAATCAACTTTTAATAAATAACTTTTTTTTCTAATACTCTTTTTACTACTTTTTATAAGTTTGAATATATTTTCTATATTTTTAAATATATAATTGATATATATATTATAAATATAAATATAATAACTTTTTTAAAAGTTTCTTAAGTACTTTTTATCTGTAATAATTCTCCATTATAATTATTATTAAAAAAAGTAAATTTATTTTATTTTTTTATTTATTATTTGCAGCTAATAAAACTTTTATACTCTTTAAGGAGTTAATAGTGGACTACCAACCAAAAGTTATCGGAATCGCATGCGAAGGAAAAGATTCGTTTCATGTATATTCTGATGTCGAAAAGTATATATTTATATATAATATAGTACTAGTAACAATAATATAAATAATTATATCAATAAATAAATAGAGTCATAAACGAAGAGGACATCCCCTACCGGCCGGGCTTGGAGCACGTGTCTGGCGAGGTTGCGCGATTGTATATGGATTCTGGGTCAGCCACTGAGGAATTTCCTAACGTCCCTGTACTAAAAAAATTAATTTTTTATAGTTGCGATTGGTTGAATTAAAAGAAATTATAAAACACTTTTGATTCGCGCACATTAAATTTTTGTTAACAGTATTTTTTGCGACAGTCAATTGTTTATTATCCTTATATGTATTGCTTCCACTCAAATTAAACTTGCAGTTTAACATGCTGCGTTTTTTATGAAAGTATTAAAATATAAATTTTATATTATATATAATTTTTAATAATTAAGTTTTTTATTTTTAAGTTTTTATTATTATTTTTTTTATATATTAAAGAAGTTTTATATTTATTATGTTTTTTTATTATTTTTATAAAAAAGCTTTACAAATTTTATCAACTTCATTATTTTTTAATTTGTATATTAAAAAAGTTTTTTTTAGCTTTTTCTTATTAAAAAAAATTTTGATAAAATATTTTCATGAAATTAATTTTGTGAAAAAAAAAAATTTCTTTTTGGTTAAGTTTATTGTTTTCCAAGTCTACAAACTTACAAAAGAAGTACTTTTATTAATCAATTTTTTCATATTTTAATCTCTATTCAGAGTCGAATGCGGCACGCCATTTCTGTTGCAAGAAGAGTAGCCAATCCTCTTGCTGAAATAGCCAGTGCGTTACTTTCTAATTTTCTATTGGTTAATTATAGAGCTTCTCGAGTTCTTATAATGAGTTTTTTTAATATATTTTTTTATTCTTAATTTTATTATTATAGATCTTACTTGCGTTGAAGATGATTTGTCCATGCTAAAACTTGTACTTTTTTAATTTTTTATTATATTTATTATTATTATCATTATACTTTTTATCGTGATTATTATTATAATAGTTGTTACAATATTTTTATATTATTCTCTTATTATTATAATTACTATTATCATTATTACATTTATAATTATTATAGTTATTATCGTCATGGTATTACTAATATCGTTTATTATTCTTATCACTATTATTATTAGTAGAACTTTTATTATTATTATTTTGATATTATTATAACTATTAATTATTCCTTTTATTATTATAATTATTATTAGTAATTATTATTATGAACAGCACCATTTCAATTTTATTACCGTATAAATATCTTTATTGTTATTATTATTATAATTAATTTTGTTATCATTAAGTTTACTGATGATAAGCACCATTATTATTACCCTATGGATATTTTACTTGTAATTATTATGATCATTACTACTACGCACAGCGAAAACTTTTTATAGTTATTATTACTACATATATATTTATTATTACTATTCCTATTCAGCACAGCGAGCAACGTTTTCTTTCCAATAAAAAACTAAATTTGCGGTTAGCTGAAGAACTTGTTGATGTTGTCAGTTCGGTAGGAGTTCGAATTAATGAAGTTCTCGATCATGGGAATCTGGAAAGTCTTGTTCAGTACCTTCCAGGTTTTGGGTATTTCATTATTATTATTATTATAATTTATTTTACTGTAATATATTATTTTACTCTAAAAATGTTTAAAAGAAAAACACATATGAAAAGTATTATATTATTATTAATTTTGCGGTGATAAAGATTCTCTAAACAGAATATAAATATGAAAAAAAAAATTACTATATATATTATTATTATTTTTTTTATTGATTTACGGTAATGAAATTTTTTATAAAACGATTTCTATTAAAATATAAATACAAAGATATTATAATAAAATAATTCTTAATTAAAAAATTTTAAAATGATTTTTAAAAAACTGGCGTTAACTTTTTATTAAGATTTTTTATTTAATGGAAATTATAATATAAATCTAGATAATTTTCTTAATCCACAAAAATAATGCTGAATATTTGTTATATAAAAAATTTAGTTTTATGAAACTGTAAAATTTTTCAGAATAATTTTTAATTAACATATATTAGTGCTGAAAATATTTATTATATTAAAAAAATTATTTAATTTAACGAAATTGTAAATTTTTTTAGAAAATTATTAAATTCACCAAAAATATTGCACAAAATTTTTTATTATATAAAAATTCTATTTAACGAATTGTCATATTTTTTAGAAAAACCGTTAACTTCACTAAAAAAAAATATTGCTAAAATTTTTTTATTATATTATAGAAATGGTAAAATATGAATAAAATCCTCAATCTTTACATAATAATAAAATGTTTTAATATTTAGAATTTTTAGTAAATGAAAAAAAATTCGAATATCATGAAAAATTGTTATTATATAAAATAAATGAAGGAAATTTACGAATTTCAATGAAAATATTTTTTTTAAATAATTTTAGAAAATTTAATGCTGCTAATTTTGATATAGAAAAAGAAATTTTTTAACGCAACTGTAAAACAAGTTTGAAAAATTATCCGATTCAACAATTATAGTGCTAAAAATTTTTTGGTTTACGTATTAAAAATTGTTTAATAATTATAAATAATAAACAAATAAAAAAAAATAATGCGAAAAAGAATATAACATCTTAAGAAAATTATAAAGTCCACCAAAATAATACTTTTTTTTTTATTATATATAAAATTTTATAAAAACGGAAATGTTAGAAAATTAATGCTGATAGTTTTATATTATACAAAATTTTTACAACGGAATTGTTAATTAATTTTTGCAAATAAGCAACTTTAAAAAAAATAATTTCAAAGTAATTTTTAAATTCTACAAAAATACTGCATGTAATACTTTTTCATATATAAAAAGACTTTTTCGCTCACATTGTAAGTGTAAAAAAATTAACAAATTCAAAAAAAATAATGCAGAAAAATTTCTTTCATAAAAAATTATATTTAACCAAACTGTAAAATAGTTAGAAAAATTATTGAATTTTACAAAAATCATGTGTAAATTTTTCTATATAAAAAAATTGTTAAATTTAAATAACATGCTGAAAATTTTTTACTAAAAGAAATTCAAATAATTAATTGCACTCTTAAAAATATTAAAGTAATAATAATATTAATTAATTAACTATAAAAGAAATAAATTTTACGGTAACCAAATTTTTTTAAAAAAAAAAAATATTTAATGAAAAATCCAAAATTTGAAAAAGTTTTATAAAAATTTATACTAAAAATATAAAAAAGAATAATTACCGAACTTTTTTTTAATATTAATAAATGATTACAAAAGTTATAAATTTACTGTAAAAATTTTGGTATAAAAATATTAATTTTGGTTTAAAATTCTAACATTCAATGAATTTCGCAAATAAAAATTTAATAGTGCATATACTTTATAGAAGTTTTACGCATAATTTTTAATTATTATTATTATTACTTTTATTACTATTGTTATAATTATAATCGTAACTGTTATAATTCTTACTATTATCACTTTTTTTATTTTCTTGATAATAGTAATAATATCACTATTGTTTCCCTTATTATTATTGCTTTTATTATACTTATTATTATTTATAAAAATTATAAATCTTATTATATTGATTAGGCCTCGGAAGGCCAAATCTTTTATTGAGGCGTGCCGCCGTCGTGGCCAAGTACTTAACCGATTCGAACTCGTGACACAGTTCGGCATGGGGCCACGTGTTTTTACTAATGTTTCGGCTTTTCTTCGTTTTGATTTGGTGGATAGGAATTTCGGTGATGGGTATTCGTTATTATTATAATTATATTTCTTATTCAAAATTTTTTAATTAAGTTTTTTATTTACCACCAATTAGGATGCGAATAGTTTATAATTATTTTAAATATAAATATTTTTTTTAGTTTATATTAATTTATATTTTATTAATGATTATAAATTTATTTGTATATAGTAGTTATTATCGGTTTTCTTGTTTTGCGGTTTTTTAAAAAACTAAATATTTTCAATATTTTAACATTTTAATGAAAATATTTGAAATCTCAAATGTTGGGGCGATAAAAATTTGTTTAGCTAATTAAAAATGGTTTTTTATAAAATTTTATACTCGATTTTCCCTAAACTGCAATTATATTATTTTTCAGTAATACAAAAACCTTATTACTATTATGAATATCGAAGAACTTTTATTATGAAATTTTAGAAATCCCCAGTGGGGGGTTTCCTTATTTTTAGGAAAAATCAACTTTATTTATATAAATAATTATAGCGGACTTTATTTGTGATAAAAGTTCATTATTTTACGTGAGTAAATATTATTATTATTATTATAAAAAGCGGAGTAACATATAGTAAAATTTAAAAAAAACTTTCTAAAATTGGGAATTCTATGTAAATATTGATAATAGTTTTTATAAATAAATTCATTATTAAACGTGAATAATTACTACAATTAGCGAATCCAATTATTTTTCTGAACTTTTAATAATCCTTAACTGTTGACATAATTAAGTTTTTCAATATAAATATTTATAGCGGGCTTCATTTATAAGTTTATTATTATTCGTGAATAAATCATTTATTATTATTGTAAATAGCGAAGTAAAAGTGTTGGATGAAACTCGGATCCATCCAGAAAGTTACGAACTCACTAAAAAAATTGCGCAAGACGTGCTGGACGAATTTGAAGATGCCGAAAACGATGAATGCGTGGAAACTCTTCTAAGAGATCCTCAGCGCTCCGCTAAACTTGATTTATTGGATTTAGGTGATTTTTAGTGGATGATTGTTTTTAGGACTTTTTATTGGTTCGTGTTTAAAGTTTTAAATATATATTTTTATAGACAAGTTTGCAAATCTTTTAGAGAAAGAAGGAAAAGGGAATAATAGATTATTATTATACGATATTAAACACGAGCTTTGCTTTCCTTTTCGCGATACGCGCAAGTCGTATAGTCCGTTGAGGTTTCCCTTATTTTGCTATTATTACATATTAAGTATTTTTTGTAATAATTTTATTCAAAACCAATAAGTTTTTAATTATTAAAAAATAATATTATAATGAAGTATAGAAATAATAATAATATTAATAAATAAATTTTTTAGGTCGGACGAACGGTTTGAACTAGTAACTGGACAAAGCGTTTCTGTATATTTTTTTAATTATTAAAATTATTGTTATATTTATTAATTATTATCATTTTTTTTAATGATTTTATTAATATTATCATTATTACTATACTTCATTATAACTATTATTATATAATAAATATCATTATTTTTATAATTCATTATAACTTTATTATATTTATGATTATCATTATTTCAATTATTTTTATACTACATTATTATTATTAATATATTTATTACTATTTAATTTGTTTATATTAATTATTATCAATCATTTTAATGACTACTTCATTATAATTTTATTATTAATTATTATTTTCATTTTTACTTTTGTAATATTCATTATTCTTATATACTATTTGTTTCGTACTTCATTATTATTATTATTCTCATTAATTTTACTAATTTTTATACTTCACTATTATTATTATATTATTTGTTTATCGTTATTATTATATATTAGTCCTTTGAATCACTCAGCCTCGTGACTGCACGTGTCACCCGCGTTTTTCCGGACTTTGCGTACTGCCGCGTGGATGAAGTGATTGATGGGCGTATCAACGTCTTTATAATTATTATTATCAATTTTTTTATTTTTCATTATATTTTTTATAACTATTGATTCATTGTATTATTTGCTTTGTGATATTTTTATTAACTAAACTTTTTATGAGTAGAGAAATAACGTTTCTGATAGTCTTATAGAAAAAGTTACTGACCACTTGCAGGTTTACTATATTTTCTATATGAATTTTTTTTTACTTTTATTTTTTGTATACGAAAATTCAATTTTTTTATAAAAGCATAAAAAGTTCTTTTTATTATGAATTTTTTTTTGAAGGTTGGACAAACTTTGCAAGCTGTAGTTTTGCACACGAATATTGAGAATATTCAATTGTACTTATCGTAAGAACTTTTTTTTAATGTATTTTAATATATGAAAAATGCTTCAAAAATAATAACGAAAATATGAAAAAGCTGCAAACGTAGTGACATTGAGTCCGCACTTCGGAGGGAAGTGGAAAGAAAAGATCATTATTTTGATACCATAAAGTGTAAACAGGACACTGAGGCGTTACAGGTACCCAGTTATACGCACGAGCTTTCACGTTGCCATTGACACGTGCTTTTATGTAAATAATAATTAAATATATTACAATAACAATAACAACAAAAGTATAATATGGATTGTGAAAATAAGAAAGGTAATAATAATAAGTATATATAAATAATATTATATAATAATATTTAATAAAATGAAATATATAAGATTATAAAAATAATTATTGATAATATAATATAAATTACCAATAAAATAAATATAGAAATCTAATAATAATAATAATAATATATTAATTGTAAAAGTTATAGTATTAGTTATGAATGCGTAAAATTGAAAAAAAATTATATTTCTTTTATTATATAAACTACTAGTAAAATAAAAAAATAAAAATACTTAATTAAAATAATAAAATAATAATTGTAAAGTTATAATAACACAATAAAAATAATTTATAAAAAAAAGGAAATAAGTTATATATAATAAAATTTATAATTATATTAAAGTTTTATTTTTATTTGTTATATAAATTACTTTTTAAAAGTATTAAAAAATATTTAATAGTAATAATGAAATAATTGTAAATGTTCCAGTAATAATAATATAAAAATAATTAAATGGAAATAAAAATACAAGAAATTTTATTATATAAATAAAATTTATATATTAAAGTTTTGTGTTTATTGGTTCTGTATATTACTAATAATAAAATTTATATTAAATATTTAATAAATAATTATAGAGTAATTTTAATATTAATATATAATATTAAAAATAAAAAATAGAAAAAAGTAAAAGGAACAAATTATGCACCATTTTATAATAATAAAAATTTAAATTTTATTTGTTAAATTATTTGCCATAATAAAAATTAATATCAAAAATTTAATAAGTATTATAAAAAAATTATAGTTAAATTATTAATTATATTTTTACATAAAACTTTTTTTTTTACTTCTTTTTTTTTAAGGCAGCCGAAAGGAAAAAATTATCGTTAGAGCAGAGAAATCATCGCCGTGTTGTTAATCATCCACTTTTCAAAAACTTGAACTATCAAGAAGCGGAAGAGGTAATGCCTTTTTTTTATTTTACGGATTGGCTTTCATAATTTTCTCTTTGTCTTACTGGTTGGCTGCGGCATAAAGGTTACCCCGTTTTTAAATAATGCAACAAATTAATTAATATACAAACACGTGTGATTTTGTAATTTGATTATTTTAATTTTAATTAGTGCCTTTTTGCCATTATTGAGCTCATAAATTGTATGCGTCCTTTCCATGTGACTAAACACGTGCTTTACTATATTGGTGATTTCTAAATTATTAGCACCTTTTAATTATTATTTGGCACTTAATTTGAATGCGTTCCAATTATTCGAATAAGCACTTGCTGTACTGCATATTTAAAGTTTTAATTTCATCAGTTTTTATGTAATTATTCGGTATGTTTTATTTATTTAAAACTTATTCGTAGCGTTTTATGTTTCGAAACTTTATTATCAGCAAACTATTTTATGGTTTCAGTTAACTATAATTAGATACGGGATGTATTTACTTGGATATATTAGAATTTTATTAGCGTTTATTTGGTACGTTTTGTTAAGTTATCTGTATCATTTATATAACATAATGCTCTTGAACTTTTATTTTTGTTAAACTGATTCAACGGTTTCTAATTAACAATTTGATTTAAGTTAAGCAAAACGTTTTTTCAACCAGACGTTCTAAATAATCATTGGTTAAATTCTATTTACGTTAACCAATTAAAAAATAATTAATGCTCAGCTTTAAAAAAATGAAGTAGTCACGTGTACATATAAATTAAAATTATAAATAACATGATTGACTGATCTCTTTTTTTCTTCCTATGGCCTACGAAATAGTACTTAGTTAATCAATAATAACGTTTTTTAATACTCTTGAATTTTTCATATTAATTTTTCTACTGGTTGACTGGTTCTTAGTTCCTTTCACCATTGGAAATGGGCGATTGCGTCATCCGTCCTTCTTGCAGTAAAAAAAATGAATTGGCACTCACCTGGAAAGTCGATGAGGGAGTCTACCAACATATTTCTATTGAAGGTTATTTTTAGACAATACGTATGGTTGAATATACTGAAATGTTATTCTATTGGTTATTAACCAATCTTTCATTGTTTTTATTGGTTAAATATATATTTTTTCATTTTAGTACAAAATAATGATATAAATAGTAAAGAATAATAAAACTTTTGTAAATTAATATTTTATTTCAATATAGCAGTAGAAAAAAAATGAATAAATGCAAAAACTACGACTATATTATAATATTTTTGTTAAGTATAAATAATAACTAATAAAATAATTTATTAATATTCAATGAAGTTTTGTTATTAATATTATTAAAACTTTTACTATAAAGGATAAATAACTTAAGAAACTCTGCACCATTTTTTTAAGTTTCATTGTTAATTACTATAATTGTTTATAATAAAAATAAACATTTTTTTAATTTAATATTTTTATTAATCTAATATTACATATGATAATATGATAATTTTAAATAAAAATATTTGTAATTCACGAGAGTAATACTGTTAATTATTATGAAAATGATGATATTTATTTTGTTTATTTTTGTTTAAATTGTTAATGAAAGGATCTCTAAGTATTGAGTATACACTTTTTTTTTATTGTTCACGTTAAGATTATTACAAGTATTCTATTTATTATTATGTTATAATTATTATTTAATATATAAATCTATAAATAATATATTTATTTTGCTTATTATTATTTTCAAAGAATTATTAAAAAAATATTAAAACTTCATTATTTCTAGTTTACTATAATATTATGATATATTTTTGTTTATTATTATTATCATATATTTTGTTTTTTATATATAACTAGAAATATATTTTTATTATTATTCATACAATATTATAAATATTTTATTTATTATTTGTAATACTTATTAAAATATTAAAATTTATAAATAAGTAAAAATATTTATTATTTATTGTAATTCACGGTCATATTATTTTTATTATTATTATTTTAAAATACTTAAAATTTTAAATATTTATTATTATTATTTTTACATCACAATAATATAATATATTTTGCTAATTTTTATTTATAAGTTTTACATATAAAATTTTATAATATATAATATACTTTTTTATACTTTTTTAATTCATGATAACATTATCTTTATTCTTTTTATATTTACTTTGTTTTTATAGATTTTACTGTTGATAAAGAAGCGCATTCATTGGAGGGAAAATATAAACTGAAAAAACAGTTTTATGATGATTTAGATGAAATTTTGGCGCGTTTTTTGTCTCCAATCACCGCGCTGTTAACGGAAGTACAGAACAGTCAGTGCTACCATAAAGTTATTGATATTATTATTACTATCATTATCATTATTATTGTTATCATCATTATTATTATAATTATCGTTATCATTATTATTTTGTTTTTTATTATAATTACTATTACTGTTAATATTATTATTTTATTGTTAGCCTCTTTATAAAGCTGAGCTCGATAAAGTTTTAAGAGAAGAAAAAAAACGAAATCCCGCGCGGATTCCGTATTATTTAAGTGCATCGAAGGAATTTGCGGGAAAATTAATGATTTCTTATCTTCCAGGATGCAATACTGTTATTCACGAGGCGAATATTTATTTTTTTTGTGACATATTTATATACTATGTAAATTTTAATAGAAAAATATAAACTTTATTATATAAAACTCTTATACTTTTTTTTAATACCAAGAAAAACATATAAAAAATTTATATACTCTGAGATTCATGGGGCAAATTTATTTTTTATATGAAAACTTTTAAAACATATATATTTCATATATTTTAAGATAAACTTTTTAATGTAAAAGTTTTATACTTTTTTTTAAACATTTTTTATATATATGAATTTTATACTGCAGTTATTCACGAGGCAAATATTTGTATTTTTTGTATTTACTTTTTACATAAAAAACTTTTTTTATGCTTAAAAATGTTTATTTTTTGTAAAAGTTTTTATATAAACTTTTATACATTATATATTTAATATTAAAAATCTATTAAAACTTTTATACAATTTAATATATTATTATATATGAACTTTTGTACTTTTATATTTGTTAAATAATATAAAACTATAGTTAAACTAATATATACTTTAAATATTTTTATATATAAACCTTTAATACTTTTTTTTTTCCTACTCAAAAATACTTTTGTTTCATTAAATTTATATAATGCTGATATTCATTCGACATATTTTCCTAATTTTTTATTTTTTTGTTTTATTTTTATAAACTTTCATTCTTTTTTATTTTTATATTAAAAATTATTTAAAGCACCAAAACTTTTATACTTTTTTTTATGCTAAAAGAATAATTTTTAAAATAAAAACTTAATATTTATACCAAAATTTTGTTTAAATTCTTAAAACTTTCCCACTTTTTTTTATAAGAAATTTTTTATATAAATATTTTTAAAACTCTTATTTTTATTAATCAAAAAAAACATTTTTTAATTTTAATACTAAAAAATATACTTTTAATATATAAAAACTTCAACTTTTTTTTTAAATTTTTAGTAATAATTATTATACTTTTTATTTATATGAGATAAACAAATAAATATAACCTTTTATTTATATATTTTAAACTAAAAAAAAGTAAACTTTTCATGTGCAAAAAATTTCTTTTTTCTATTTTTATTATAAAAAATAATAAGAATTATTATTATAATCATAACTTTATATAATTGTTAATAATAAACTTTAATATATTTTTTCTACATAAATAATGATAAAATTAGAGTAAAACTAAACTTGTTATAGTTATTTTTACTGAAAAAATAGTCACTTTTTTTAATGCAACCAGTTCGTTGTTTTATCTCCTGAAGGCTTTACTTACCGGAATAATCTTTTTGATTGCGTTAAAGACGTCATTGATTGGTGAATTTAATTACAATTTTTTATGAAAAAAAACTTTTTTTTATTTTTATTCTATTTTTCAAAAGGTTTAAAGAATATCAAAAGAAAAAAATAAAAGAGCTTCAATACTTACAACAAGTAAATCAGTTTCAAGAAAAACAAAAAACTTCAAAACGTAGAGAATCGCGCCGCTATTCGCATCGAAAAAGCGAAGGGAAAGTCAATGAAAGTAGGCGGTATCGCAGCAGTTACGAAAAGTACTCGAAATCCCGCCAAATTTCCGTCCCGAGCCACTCAGGGAGTTATTCAAGAAATAAAAGTTATTCGGATTATCGTTATTAATAAAAAGTTATTCTATTTTTTTTTACAGTAATGAGTAATAATCAAGTTTTTTATTTTGATATATTTTATAATAAATATAATTATAGAATTAGTAAAAATAATAATACAATTAATAATAATAATAACATTAACTTTACTAGGTAGTTATTAAAATTCTTGATGAGCTTCTTAAAAGTTCTATTTTTTTTAAATAACCTTTTTTCTTATGTTTAAAAATTTTTTAAATTTGCTGTATAAGAAAGTTATTTTTTATAAAAGCAGAAATAAAGAAAACAAAGAAAACTTTTTTTTTTTGCAGTTTTTTATTTTTTTCTTAAGAGGAAAAAAAATAATACAAAATAAAAACTAATAATTCACTTTTACTGAGCAAATTAATGAAGCAAATAAAAAAAATAATATAAAAACTTTTTTCTTTGTAGTTTTTACCAAATTTTTTATAAAGCAAATAAAAAATAAAACAAAATTTATTTTTCTTTATAATTTTTGTTATAAAGCAAATAAAAAACTTTTACAATTGAAAACATTTTTTTGTAAAAAATTTACTATAAAGCAACTAAAAAAGTAATACAATTTAAGAACTATTTTTCTTAGAATTATAAAGAAATATTAAAAGCAACTTACAGAGTATTTCTATTAAAAATTTAATAGAATTTTTATTAATATAATTTTTAATAGCAAAAAATAAAGTAAACCAAAAAAATCTTCTCTTAGTTAATTATCTGACTTTTTATTTAATAGCCGAAAATAAAGTATTACAGAAAACGTTATTAAGTCACTTTGTCGGTTCAGCTTGCATTTTTTATAGTGCTTAAAAAAGTATGAAAAGATTTATAATCTCTGCGCCATCTTTTTAGCATTCTGATCAAATATAATAAAAACTTATTTCATGTTTCCTAAAAAACGACTACTTTTCTGCGCTGTGAATGATAGAAAAAAAGTAACTTTCTTCTTTCGGAATAATTAACTGCATAAGCATATTTTACAAGTTCGCCGATGCTTTTTTATATACATAAAAAGAACCATTAAATAAAAAACACGTGGCACCCTCCGTGAAGCTTTTTTTAAGTACCTTTTTTTCTTGGTTAGCGAGGAAACAACAACTGCAAGGGAGTAATTTCAGCGCTGTTATTAAAAATATTAATCCTTTCATCCCATTCGTCCCTGAGCAAATGCCATACTTGCTCTTTACCAATAGGATTAGTGGCTAGTGCTCGCCTACAACAAACATCCAATCTAACTATAGCAAAAAAATTGGCCAATAGTATAAGGCGGATTTTTCCGTAAAAGTTCAGCATTGGCCTGACCTCGTCAGCTTTAAATTTTCGATAAGCCTTTAGCGCTTCTTTAATAATCGCTGCGTCTTTCGCATTCGATTAAGCAACCAACGCCAGTATACTATATTTAGTTTTTATTATTCATTCGTATTTAAACTTAAAATTTATACTATACTTTATTTTTAATATATTTCTTATCTGTAAACTTTATTATATATACTCTTTTATCAGTTATTTTACTATTTCTTATTTTTATTATTTATCTGAATGTAAACTTTTTTATATAAACTTCTTTATTTAAGTAATTTTTATATTAATATATATAATATATATAAACTTTATTATAAAATTGTAATTATCTACGTTTTATACAAAACAATACAAATTCTTTTAAGTTAATTAACTCATAAGGCTAAAACTCGTACTTGGCAAGTTCGCGTAAAGCGCCACAACAGCGAGCGAAGCCGATTGGAGAAATATGTGCTGCGAGAAGCTGTTATTTAGGTAAGTTTTAAACCTGCTTGAGCCAAAATTACTACAATAACATAAAAGGCACCAAATTAAAAAACCCTTCTTTAGCTATTAGGATAGTTTTTAGCATCGCCTTGAAGCCCTTTAAAAATATTTAAAAAGTGATGCACGTTAAAAAAATTAAGATTAGAAAAGTTACCAAGAAGTTTATAGAATTGGCTTTGAAGTTCAACGTTAGTATAATTTATTTGCGTTGAATATTTTTTTAGTTTAGGCAATATGTACTGAAGAAGGCTATTTAAATACGCCAGCCAGTCTTCGTGTTCCTCTTGAGCGTAAATCAGATTAACTTCTTTAAGAAAACCCATAATTCTAAACAAAATACCCAACTATGCAAATTTATAAAAATGTTCATTAAATAATTGTAAAGTTAGAGTCTTATAATAATTAAAAGCTTAAAGAGTAATAGTTCACAATAGTTCGTTCTTAAACTGTAAAGATAAAAAAATTTACAAGTAAAATTATGTTGAATTTGAGATACATGACTTTTGTAATAATTATTATAAAAATTAATAAAAGATTATGGGTTTTACAATAATTAATAGCTAAAAACAAAGCTAAACACCACTTTATACATAAATTAAGTGTTTTTCAGTAAAATAATATGTATAATATATAAAGTTATAAAAAAATTAACAATAAAATTGTTTGTTTAAAAAAATTTTATTTAAGAATAATTAGATTTACGGACAAACATAAATTACACAAGCGCAAAATTATAAAAAAGTGGGAAAAATTTAGGCTAAATGTTTACATTATAAACATTTAACTTTAATTGAATTTATTCTAAAAATTCGGCAATAAAATTTACTAATACGAAATATAAATAATATATCCATCTTAAAAATGTTAAAAGAAAAAAAAATCATAATAAAAATAATTAAAGAATTTTGAAAAAAGATTCACGATAAAATTTTTAACTTCATTTTCTGGCTTGTAGTTAAATAAAAGGCTTAAAACTTTGCTTACTGGAAGATGGCCAGACTTTTAATTGGTAAAAAACATTTATTGTTAATACTATAACTCATCACAAATTTCAACATTTAGATTAATTGGTATAAAGATATTTTCTTGAAGTGGAATCCTTTTTTATCAGGTAAATTTATTTTTATTTATTATTATTTACTTAACGTAGAACTTATTTTTATTATTAGTAATGTTACTGTTTAATTTTTACTCTATTAAGAGTATAAATAATTAAATTTGAGGTAGAACTATTTTTTAAATTAAAAAAATATTTATTTACTATTATTGTAAAAAATAATTAATATTAAAATCAACTTGATTATAATTATCAGGCATCATAGTAAATTCTTCTCTTCATAGTATTTATAAAACATTATTAATATTGTTTAATAAATTTTATAAAGTAAAATAGTAAACGAGTTAAATAGGAATCTCCTATTTTAATTCATAAATATTCCAAAATAGTTTATTAACTAAATAATATCCAAATTATTTGTAATTATAGAATCAACACTTACTAACTCAAAATATTTTACATCAAGAGAAGAAATTTCTACTAAATAAATATTAGAATTCTTAGTTATAAGAATAATTAATACTCTATAGATATAAATCTTTACTCGATCAAAAAAATACGCGATTATTCTATTTTTAGGTTTCTTTATTATAAGTATGAACCAAAACGCACTATATTTTTTAATTAATTAAATTTAAATATTTTAAGTACTAAAACTAAAGTTCGACGTTTAATTTATAATATAAAACTAACTTTCACTCAACAAACAAATTATTTACTTATTAAAAAAATAAATCTACTCGTTTTTACTTAATTTCATTATATTTTATTATAGATATTATAATACTATAATTTAACTTATATATGTTTCTTTATAATACATATAAAACCAACATTTACTAAATAAACATTATTTAAAAGTAATACTGACGTTAATATCAATAAAAAAATTTTATTATAACTATAAACAATTTATACTCAATAATTACAAACTACTCAGTAAAGAGAACGATCTATAAATATTCATTAGAAATACTGGGATTAAACAATTAATAATTCTTTATAAATATAAAACAATTTTATACCCAATAATTATAATTCTTTACTCTATGAGGAGAAACAATTTATACTATTAAACCAGTTTTTTATCAATAAATATAAACCTATATTCATTGAAAAGGAACAATTAATAATTATTTATTCGTAATACTGAAATTAAGCTCTTAAACGGATCTTTATAATAATTATAAACAATTTATATTCAATAATTATAAATCTACTTAATGAAGAGAAACTATTTTCAGTTATTTATAATAATGATATTAAATTTATTAACAATACTCAAAATTGTAATACGAAGTTATACCAATATATATGTTTCCACGATTAAGAGGAAAAATTGATAACCATAAAACTAATTTATATAATTTTTTCTAAGTAATATTATATAAAAAACATTAATAACAATTCTTTATTGTAACTATAAACCATTTATTTCCAATTAATACGAATCTTTACTAGACGAAGTGAAAGAAATTTTAAATAAAATAAATTATACTCCATCTTTTACTCATTAAAGAGAAACCACCTACAACTACTTATTAGTATACTGATATAAAATCCGTTAACAAGTTTTTATAACTTGTTAACTAATTTACATTCAGTAATAAATCTAGATGAAAATAATGCCTTGTAATTATAAGCAATACTGAAATTGAAATCATTAACAAATCTTTATATTAAAACTAACTTATACTCAATAATTATAAGTCTTTACTTAATGAAAAGGGTTATACCATAATTCTTTATAAGCAATACTGAAATTTAAATCACTAAAAAATCTTTATAACTTATAAAACTATTGTATAAGAAATAATAACTCTCCACTCGATGAAAAGAATTACTTATAATTATTTAAGTAATACTGAAAATGTAATCATTAGCAAATCTTTATAACTAAAAATTAAATAATACTCTATAATTATAAATTTTTACTTGGTGAACAGAATTATTTCACAATTATTTATGATACTGAAATTAAATACATTAACGATTTTCATTGAAACATTTAAATCTTTGAAAATACCTGCGACAGTGCAAGAGTCTTTAATAAGATTTCTCTATCCAAAAAGGACAACTGTTACGATTTCACTGCAATCTTTAAAGCTGAAAATAATTCATCTGAATATTGAACGCGGTAGAAACCAGTCTCCTCCAGATTTACTTTCAGCCTTTATTTTTTTTTTAAAAAAAAATTAAATTGCTATTGCTTTATAAAACTTACAACTTTTTTTTTTTTTATAAATATAAATAACTTAATTAAATAATTTACTTGCTTTTGTTTTATAAATTTTATAATATTTTCCTTTTTTTAAAAAAATTTATTTATTCATTTTATAAAATTTAATTGCTTTCGCTTTTTAAATTTAAAAAAATTAAAAGAAATAATTAAATTTACTAAAAGTTTTGTTTGGTTTTCCTTTATAACTCTCTTTAAATATTAATTTTTTAAAAAAAAAATTAAATTATTTAAAAGATTTGTTAGTTTTTGCTTAATAAATCTTTAAAAAATTTTTGTAAAGATTGAATTTAATTATAAAATTAATTTGCTTTTGAGTTATAAATTCTAAATAGTCAATATTCTCTTTAAAAAATTTACTTTCTTTTGCTTATTAATAGTAAAAACAGCTTTTATTAAAAAAATTAATTTATAGATTAAATTGCTTTTGCTTTATAAATTTTGAAAAAACAATTTTTCTTTTGTTTTTGCTTGATGAAATTTAACACTATTTTTTAAAAATAATTAAAATAATTACAGAATTGGTCAGCTTTTGAGTTATAAATTCTAAAAAATAAATTTTTTAAAAAATTTTTGTTTACATTAGAGAATTTTTCTTGTTTTTGCCTTATTAATTTTACAACATTTTTTATTTGTGAAAATTAATTTATTTAGTTTTTCTTTTTCTTTTTAAAAATTCAATTTTTTTATTAAATTAAGGTGCTATAGCTTTATAAATTTTAAAAACCAAGCGCTTTCTGCAAGCGAAGATGGAAGCGTAATACTTTGTTGATCGGCAGAAAATATTGTTTTGAAAGTAGAATTCTTGGTCTCTCTACGTATCGTAAAAAAATATGCCAGCGAGTATAATCCTAAAAAGAAAAAAATCATTTCAAATTTTAATTACTTGACTTAAAATATTTATTAATATAATTAAACCTTTTCACTGGAATCTAAAAATCGTTGTCGTCGTACAGTTATTATGTTTGTTGATATTTTTTAAACGAATAATAGTGGATATTCTTGAAAAATTAGAATTTCAAATTGAGTGAAAGTAATTTTTTAAACCTGATTTCGGTAAACCAATTAGATGTCAATTCTGTATAATTAGCGCTGTTCTGCTTGAAATTTTCTTTTAAACAAATTAAGAGAAAATAATTTTAAATGTAGTTAACTCTCTTCTGAAAATATTCTCCATAATCTCTGGAATTCCCAACTCCGTATTGAAATTCTTTAAAAAACTTCTGTTTAGTTTTAAAATAATTTTTTTAACTGTAAAGCAAAAGAATTATAAAAGCACTAAATCTGATTCTTTTCCTCAATTTAAATAAAAATAAAGTATTTAAGAAAAGAAGAGTTATTAGAAAGTTACACACTCGTAAACAAAGTTGAAATTTTTCAGGACTAATTTGATCAGCAAGCATTCTTAAGATGGAGGCGGTTTTACCATATCTTATATGGTTATAAAAATTTTTAGGATCGACTCTAGAAATTATTATTGGTTGCGAATCATTTTCCTTATCTTCTTCAAAAGCTTCTTCTATAAAACTTTAAAAGATACTAGGAAAAAAATAGAATAAAAGATGAAATCATTTTTTTTCCCATCTTTCTCCCATTAATTCCCAATGCTTCCAATTTTTATTAAGTTCCCCCAAAGCTAAAAATGTCTTATAAGTAGCAAAGCCTTCTTTAACCACAATTTCTTGAACATAAAAGTGTGCATAGTTAAAAATAATAATAAAAAGTGCCGACACAGAGTTAATTATTTTGTTTTCTTTACATTCCAATCGGGAATGGTGACCAGATTCCCAAACCATTGATGGACAATTTCATGCAAAATAATTTCTGCCAATTCTTGTTTTTTTTTTAATTTAAAATATTTTCGCTCTTTTCCTAAACAGATTTCTTTTTAAAGCTTACGTAGGATAGCTTCCTGTAAGCCATACAAGATGATAAAAAGTGCCGATGCCGATGAGGTCCCAATCCTCACTTTCGCTTAATTCAAATTCATTCCAGAAAACAAAATCTAACTGCAATTTATTATTTACTATACAATTTTTGTGGAAGCGAAGTTTACTTTAAGTAAATTACTTTTTCTAAGGGATAGCCTATTTTAAAACAATTTGTATAATAATCAAGAACCTTGTTAGCCCACTCCAGCGTAAAGTTACCGAAACTTTTGGTAAGTAAACATCATTTATAATGATTAGGTTACGAGTTTTTGTGATACTTTTTAATAAAGATCTACAAGAAGCACATACAGGAATAACTACTCCATTGTAGGAAATAGACCGCACATTTTAATAATCCAAAAACAGAGGAGAAAAGGTAGGTCGACATGAGCTTTTGAGAAGGTTATTTACGAGGTTATTTACAACTTAAATAAAAAAAGTGATTATTTTTTTAACAGGTGTTGACTGGAAAGAGATTAGGTGTCTATTACTATGTATAATCTTCTGGGCTTCAGTAGTATTAGCAAGAGCAGAAAAGTTTTTCGGAATATTTAAATGCAATTTGAATTGTGCTTTGAGTGATGGCTTGTCAAAGCAAGGAAACACTCTCCGTGCATTCTGAGGTTCAAAATGTGTTCCTGCAGTAAAAATTCATTTAAACGTAATATACATAAAATATATGACAAACTTACCATATAAATATCAAATTTTGTTATTATTTACATACGTCGACTTTATAAAGCCACTGATAATAACATGATTATTGTACCTGATGGATATAGCTTTCTTTGTTGTAGTTTATACATAAAAAATATGGTTATATTGTATACAAGAATAAGTTATATTAATTGTATATGTCCTCAGAATTAATAATTCATCGAAATGAACTCTGAGTATTTCTTTATCCTATTAAAAAAAGTTTAAACTCTAACTTATATATAATAGGTATACCGTTACAATTAGTTCTATATTGCTCGATCTCAGTTTCATATGATAATTTTCAATAGTACAATTGAAAACTTGAAGATTTATTGCATGAAAGACGATCACTTACTTTCTTTGGTAGTGGATAACTTAATAGAAACATTTCCGAAGATATTTTTTTTTAAGAAAGGTCGAATGGATAGAGTATAAGAAACTGGTAGCACTATAAAATTTGAGATAAATAAGTTTATAAGTATGGCTTAAACATACAAAAAGTAATTTTAAGCTACTGTTACCTTCTTCTAGTTCTATACAGTTAACAAAACTATAAGTTGAAGACTTATAGTTATGGAAAAGGTGGCCCTCAATTATAGACCAAATAAATATTGGTAAAATTACGTAAGAAGCAATTCCCATTATTATATGGAACATGAAACAAATCTAGTAGTTTTAACCAGGCAAAAATGATATATATAACATTTAAGTAATTACTTTAAATTCCTTAGTACACTTAATTACACATTCTATTTGCAGTAACAAAAGTTAGTCGTTAACCAAATACCTTAATTTTTTCTAGCTTATATAAAAATATGACGGTCTACTTGTTCACTTAATGTTAACACGTTTAAAGTAATATTTTTTAAAGTAAGCTACGATTAACATTAAAAATTGATTAAAGTAATTACTCACTACAAATAAGACCAACTTTTATTTTAATAAAGTATACAAAATTTAATAGGGAACCTGTGCTATGCTTTTACTTTGTTTAAGTAATTTAGTAATAGTTGTGTTACTATAAAGTGCTGTAGTTGGTTATTCATATTTTTAACTCATAACATAAAGGACTAATGTTGATTAAATACTTTTATTTAGTATTTAATTTTGTAATAAAAAGAGAGTCTTTGCTAAGTTAGGTGAGGAACTGCAACATTTAGTCTATAATGTTGAAAAAAAGTTTTCGAGGTGAATTTATTTACTTTGCTTACTAACTACTTTTCAATAAATTAAGTAATGTATGGTAAATTTCCAATACCTGCTTGTTAAATGAGGCGGCCGAAATTTCTTCACAGTTAAAAGATTTTAAATTAGGTAACGTTTTTAAAAAAATTGTTAAAATAAAATTTAAAGATTATGAGATTGTAATTAATTAGATAGAATAATTGCTGCTAGTAAATTTTTGTTGCATTATATTATCTCTAAGTAATTTAACAAAAACACTCGGTATTAGAACAAAGTTAATGATTAAATAGCAATATATAAATATAATAATTGCTTAGAAATTATTATATAGTAAATATTATTATAAAATAAACTAAGCCAATAATAAATAACAGCCCAACAGTGTAAACTTCATTAACATTACATATATAGACTCAGATTATATAGGAAGTTCAGATTAAAATAAACATGTAAACAAGAATTATTTTTTATTTTTAGAATATATAGCGCACTTAAATCAAGAGTGAAATTGCATAATAAAAAAATACAAAATTTAATGAGAAAAAAATAATGAAAAATAGTAGAGAAGCAAAACATAAATTGAAAAACTATATAGTAATTATCGCTAAAATAAACCAAAATAACATACAAGTCAAAAAATATCTGATAATTTAATATAAACTCTAATCAAAAAAATATATAAAGGAAAGAACTCACGTAAATTTTAACAAGCAGATCACTACAAAAGATTAAAAGAGTCCTTACATAGTTAATTATATTTAAATTATTTAAAAAATAATTTTAAAAAAATAACTTTGAAACATATTTAAGCTATGTAGAATTAAAAAAATTGAAGGTGCAATATATGTTAAAAATTTTCGCAGGTTTAGCAAAATTAATAGAAGTGGACGTGATGAACTTATTAAATCCCTTTTTGTTTTGTCCTAAAGCTTATCTGTAAATTATGTATACAAGACAAAAAAACTGATTATATACAAAATAAGTTATATGTATATGTAAATACAAATGTTTTACATTATTAAATTAATTAATTGGTTCTGACTTTCTTTAGTTTGTTTCTATCATTTTTTTTGTCTGTATTTGTTTCTAAAACAATTACAAAATTAGAGAATTATATGCACATAACAATTATTATATTTAAAAAAGATTTATTAAATTGTTGTAAAAATAAAAATATTGCTTCTATTTAAGTGTGAATATTATTATACGTAATTTTAACAATTATTATAGCTTGTGATTATAATATATTGTACTCATTATAGAAAAGTTTGAAGAAGAGTAAGATACTCTAACAGGTTGGTGTAATTGGTCAAAAATTGACGACTGTAAATATTATTTCCTTATAAATCCAATGTTTAAAATTTAACTATATTATCGAAAAACCATTAGGCATTGCTAATTTTTCTTGTGAAAATCCTAAATTATGCTGATAATCATAACAAGCATTATTAAAATTGATTATCCTAAAAAATTTAATAATCTTTCTTGATCGAAGCCTCCATTTAGTAAATTTTTTACGTCTCCAATAGTATACAAAATTTTCGCTTCGTTGTTAACGATTTAACAACTTATATGTTTAAACCTGTCTATCTAAAATAGTTATTAAATATGTAATTAAATATGATAGTTAATTGATAAATTTTACCTATTGTAGGATGCTATTCTCTGAAGTACTGGGTTTATTTTAATAAAAGTCATTGAGCTTAAACTTTATGCTATTATTTGATTAAAAAACAATTATTATCACACAAGCTTTTGCCCTTTCCTCTTAATATGATAACCAGATTATAACCAGAATTATATAAGGTTTCAGGAAGTTTTTTGGAAATTTATTTACACCCATTCCAATTGCTATTGTTTAGTTTTATAATTTAGCTTAATAAGTTTTTTTCTGTTAATTTTATTGTAGCGAGCGTCTTTTACTAGGTTTTTGACTTAAGGAAAATGTTTTCTTTACCTGTAATTTCGCTTTCCTTTAATATTATTTCGTAATTACAGAGATCAAAACCAAATAATCTCCTCCATCTTATAATAAAAGATTTTTTTTAACTCTTCTTTGCTTGATGGGAGAAAACTTTCTTTAACGGGCAGCGATCAGTGCCCTTAAGGCTTATTTGTTTACTTTTTTTTTCTTCATTCTTCGACTAATTCCCTTAACAGATAGTAAAAATAATAATAGCAGACACACATAGTTTATTTCTTTTTCTTTTCAGTTTATAAATTCCTGATAAAGTATTAGGTAAAGGGAAACCTTCACGCTGGAGTGTGGTTACTCTAAGGGCTGCTATTTTTTGCCTGGGTATCATCGTTTTAAGGCATAAAAGTAGAAACTTTTATAATAAAAGAAAAGTTAATTATAGTTAATATTATGGTCATGCCTTGCAGAAAGTGGCCTCTCTAAATATCTCTTTTCCTCTGGAACCCGGAAGATTAGTTCCTACAATAGCAACGGAAACTAACATCTTTTATTTTTTTTTTAAACTTTTTTGTAAATTAATATTTAAATTCTTTATTCTCTCTACAAGGAAAAATAAAAGTAGAGTGTTATTTTTTCCTCCAGCTTCACTTCTCTCTAAATTCTTGAAATATGTAATAAAAAAAACTTAAGAAAGGTGTTCGTATGGCATTCACCCCACCTAATTCTGGCCCGTTTAAACTATAGCGAGAGAGAATGGGCTGTAAGAAGTTTATACCTTCTTTATTATATGCTTCGCCTTAGTACCGGAGTTTTTTGTATTCCCGGAGGGCATCCCTTCAGTGCTCTTACCTTATAGTAAGTCATCTCGGCAACCAAAGGAATAAGGCCAAAGTAGGTCAAAGGCAGCAAATACCAAAGCTAAAATTTAAAAAGAAAAGAAACGTCAAGTTCCAATTAATAAATAGCCTAAGCGTTTTTCGCTTTGTTAAGAAAAGCTTTGCACAAGAACTAAAAAAAATGAAGCATGAAATTAAAAACAAAGGAAAAAGTGTAGAGAACAAGCTTTTCTTTAATTTTTTCACGAACTCACTTACATCTACTGCTTATTACCAGGAAAGTGCCTCCTTTCCGTAGAAGCTGATCTCTCCTGAGTTCTAAAAAAACGATAATAAAGGAATTAATTGAAAACGCTACCTTAAAAGCCATTCATTACCAACCGCCGCGTTGCTTATCTTATATTAACTAACGAGCAAAGTTGACTAGAATTAAAAAATATACTGGGTATACTAGACAACTATTCTACATCAAGTACTTAATATTTTTTAAATGACAAGAATTTCTACATAAACAGAGGAAATCTCTACTAAATGACTTGAATAATTCTCAGTAAGTTTACTACAACGCAATAGCAGGGCCAACTCAAGCCTGGTATGTAGGAAAACTAAGATGTTTCTGCATGTCGGTGAATACTACCTCTCAGTGCAAGCGACCAAGGCAAAAGCAAGCAGCGGAACCTGTAAAACCAGAGCGAGGTTGCTCAGTAAACCGAAGGCGAAGCGGCAGAAAAACACGTGGCTGTGTACTAATGTTAACTGAATTTTTACCATTTTTAAGGCATTCACTATAGGGTTACTAATTCACTAACTGCAACCTAACTTTACGTTGGTCATAACCTACACTATGGGTAGTTTACTTCTTTAGCGTATTCATCTTTAACCTCTAGAGGTGGTACTGGCTTCAGTACTTGGACAAGTGCTATTCCTTGGGTTGCACGAAATTTTGTTATCCAACATATCTAGCTTAGCTATATGTCTGCGGTATTCAAGTCCTTTATATTACTAGAATAAAGCTATATAGCTATAGAAACTGACTTCTGTGGCTACACTTCATTTAAAAACCAGTTGACACTGCTTACGCGTTGAATTCTAGCTGTACCTACTAATGCTAGCTATTCTAAAATCTAATTAGACGAATCTATGGCAATGATTCGATAATAGCACTCTCATCCCTTTCCCTCTTTTAACTCTAATAATTGGTGCTCTCGGAGTTAAATAGGAATGGCTACAGTTGATATAGATCTCTTTAGGTTTCTCGTCCAAGCCTTAAAAATTTTGAATTGTTACGATAGGACGGTAATTGTTCTCAGGTTCTTCTATGGAAGTGAGGGAGAGTCCGCTAATAATTCTAGTTTGCAGCAAATCTCTTGGACACCAACCTAGGTTTGTAGCAGCACTAATTTAATAGTGGACTGGTCATACTTTTTCTTGGGTCTTGTATCCTAAAGGTGGCCTACTGACTCATATGCTGCTGTAGATATTTATAGGCGATGCTTATCACTCAACGAGCAAGTGGCGGCGAAACACCTACAGAAGCGAGTTAGAAAAGGTCGGCGAGTCTCAAGCAGCTACATTGCAGGACCAGCCTAAGCTAGTAACTACATGGATCCATCTATTTATTTTGTTTTTAAGCTAGTGTTATTGTCAACACTTTAGAGCGCGTTTACAATCCTACCTTGGAATTAAGACCATGGTTGGTGTCTCTTGAATTCTATATGCAATGAATATCTTCCAATAAAATCTTGGTTACTACAAGGTTTGAGGACACTGGAAACAAATTATAATCTATAGAGGCTACTCTTAAGGTCAGGGGCCCGCCCGAGAGGCTATTAAAGATTGTAACTGGTTCTACACGTGACATATACTACAATTCTATTGAAAACTTTTAAGGCTATATTTGGTGACTCTTTGTTATTAACTTTAATGCGGTTATTATGTTAAATGATTTATTAATGTAGTTATTATTAATTATTTTTATCTTTAGAGTATCGTTTTAAATGGGGCCCCATCAAACTAACGATTTACTTTTTAAAAAAGCTTTTTTTAAATTGTAAACAATTTCTTCTCTTCCATTTTAGATTTAAAAAGTTATAAAATATAATGGTTTACAGGTTAGCTATATTTGGTGCGTCAGTATTGACAGCTGCAGTTATATTCAAAGTGAATGAAAATAAACGTTATGTTCTTTATCAAGAAAGTAAAAAGGGAAAATAAACTATTTTACTAAGCTTTAAATATTATTTTATTTAGAAGCTTATGTTTAAAATAGTTTTGCACTTCATTGTTGCTCCATCTATTTTTATATAAATTTAAGTGCCCTACTTTCTCTTTGCTGCAAGGGAGGGGCTCTCTCTTTTTTAAAATTGTTTATAATAAAAGGAGTGTCTACTTGTAGTTTTTAGTAGTCCTCTAAGTCTCAATCGTTAGGCTATATCTATATTTCTAATTTTTAGTATACAAAAAACTTTTACTGTCTCTCAGTATCATGATTTTTCGGCATACGCACAGCACAGTCAAGGGAAGAAATCTTGTCTGAAACCGATGATCGCACATTCCGGCGATGCAGCGGTTCAAAAGTGCTTTTACTCCAAAATTTTTTCCAAAACTTTTGAAAGAAGTTCAAGTTATCCTCCTAAGATATTGCGTTAAATATTAATTACATAGCCGTTATAGCTGGGGAAAATTACTAAATCTTGTTTATACTGAAGGGTTTTTTTGTACGTTAAAAGTTATATATATTAAACTACGATGCCAGCTGTAGTTCCACCCAGTGGTACACAACTAAGTAAGTCAAAATCGTGAATTATGAATGGTAAATTTACTATAATGAAGGAAAAATTTTTTACTATTAATAAAACGGGAGCTATAGTAGTAAATGCAAATAAGTTTTTGCTGAAATGATATCAACAGACAAAATATAAATATAATTGTAATAATAAAGTAAGCGATTATTTCGAGGAAATGGCCAGGAAACCTCTTCTTCCAATGCAACCGGATTTTCTGGGAAGAGTTCATTATGCAGCTCGTCGAGCTGTCGTCTTATTTTTTTCAAATGTTTTTCACTATACCGCTTCTCCTTTGAGTAGCGGTCGTAATATTCAGAAGAATAGGTAGGATATTGCCTATTATAAGCCGAAAACCTAACTTTCTTTTCGACTTTTATTTGTTTATTTGGCCCACCGACTCCAATACTTATTTCCTTTTTGGCTGTGACAGAAACCTCCTCATAAGGAAGGTCTCCATCTATTGTAAACGCATACAGTTACGGTTAAAAGAAATAATATAACAACGTTACCCATAATATTCCCTGTTGGATGGCACTCTACTAAATCAGTTCCAGACTGAAAATTAATGGTTGTTTTTGTTGATAAAACTTGCTTATCTTCCTCCCAAAAGTAAAAGGTAGTACCATCCATTGACTAACATAACAGAGCGGTAGTACCCCAGCTTTCGCACCTTAAAAGTAAAGACTCCATAAACAAGCCAAGTTTACTTATAGTAAACCTACTTTAATGTTTTAACCAATAAAGACGACTTTCTAGGCATTTACTATTTGAACTTAGAAAAATTAAAAAGCTGCGTTCCTATCAGCCTAAAAGTAATAATTACCATTTCAGTATAATAAAATAGTTGATAGTGATTACCTCATTGAAAAAGTTAGAGGCGCTAGCTGTACTAGGGGCCAGCCTAAGGCTATAAGATTTTGGTCATAAATCTTGAAGTTTAATTTTAACCAAAAATTTGCTTTAAAGTTTATTAACTTCATTTTTATTGGCTTAGAGTAGCCACTCGTAACTATTTATTAAAATTAGTTAAAGGTCATGCTGGAAAATACGATTAGCAATAAAAAGGTTTTTAGTTAAATGAAATTCTAAAAATTTTTCAGTGGTAATTTTTTAGTCATTTTAAATAGTTGATTAGTACTATATATATTATAAATTTATTTTTTGTTGTAGTATTAGTATGAAGTCCTACTATATTGCTGAAAGCACAACTTAGATTTATACATAACTTAGAAACCCTATTATATTAAGATTATAAATGACTAAACTGCACAAAAGCGCAGTAGAAGCGGAAATCAAGCATGTAAAAGTTAAAGGTGTTTAACGCAAATTAATTGTTTTTAAACTATTGATGTTTATTAAATATTAATATTAATTTTTAAAGATAACGATAAAATAGAATTTAAGGCTTTATGAAAACTACTATTATAAAACTCTTTTTTATAACTTTTATACTTAGCGAATTTTGTTAACGCAATTAACTGGAAAACAAAGATACATTAACACAAAAATGAAGAAAATGTGTGATAACTTATCTAAAAATCCATTGCTTATAGAGCTTGTGCGTATTTATTTATAAACCAGTGATAAGAGGCGAGAGCGCTATAAATAGGCATTATTTAGGCACAAGAACAGGCTAATGAAAATATGTGTTAAGAAAGAATGCGTATCTGCAATATGGAAGACTTAATTTGTTTTTTGTAATCTTTATATATAACAAATTAAAGTATTTTTACAGATCCTAAAAGTATTTATCCCTTAACCTTTAACTTTTTTAATTTTTTACGTTATGCAAAATCTACTGTGCACTTTAAAATTTTTTTTTTATAGAAGTGGTATCAACTTTTATAATAAACGCTGGAAGCCGATTGTAAGGTCTTCTTTTGGGTATATATAATGAAATCTGTGAAAGCCACATGTTTAAAATAACCATTTTTAGAATATCTTGATTAGTGTATATATAACAGCATTTTTTTATGTACTCACATTCTGCGCTGGTACATTCTCCCCTTGTACGAGAATATGAGCAGGCGCCTGAGGTTCGTCAACGTAAGTTTTTGAACGTGGGACTGTTGTTTCAATAACAATGTCCTTCTTTTGGCACAGAAAGATGTCTTCTGAGTTTTTCTCTTCGATAAGAGCATTTTTATTATTTACCTGAGATGTTATTAGTGAAGTCAAATTTCCTCTCCTTCGCTATTTTGGGTAATTAGAGGTGTCGTCGAAAACATTAAGCCCTTAGTCAAGCAAAAACCGCTGTCAACCTTATTTGTAGCCACAAAAGTTTTTGTTTACTAACACCCGATTTTTGATAATTAGGTTGGACTAAATTAAAGTATTTTCCCCATTTTTAGTCAGATATGTTAAAACCAAACTTATTCAACTTCTTTCTTTAAGAGTAAGAGAGTCATTACCGTGGAGAGCCGTCTCGCCTAGGATACACGTGAAATTTTTCTCCCTATTTACTCTCCTCCAAGTGTCTTTCAAGTTAATATTGGACTGGCAAAGTAAAAAAGTTGTAGCTGGAATCTTTTAAAATTAGGGAAAAAATATCAATGGAGTCGTGGTATTTTTGCACTCTATGGATAAGCCCTATATCTTCTTTTTTGTCCCACGACACTATAACTTTTACAATTTTTTTTAACGCTTTTCTACATCTTTTAAAAGGGAACATTACGTGTAAAGTGGCTTCACTGGAATTCAAAATTTCTGGTAGATTTTACCAATATAATTTTTATCGCCTCCTACGGCCTTAAGCATATTAAATAGTATTAGGTGAGTAAGTCTTAAGACGTAATTTTAAGTAAAAATTTTTTATACCTTAACGACAACATGAAAATCTTACACTTACGATTCTGAAAAAACTACTAAATAAGGTAAAAAATTCTGA